GCCCCTGGGCTGCGGCTCCGGCTGCCGCCCCCGCCAACCTCTTTCCGGCGCCGGCGTTTGCGTCTGGAACATTCTGCGCCGGAACAAAGGCCCCAGGGCGGAAGCGAGGGCCTTTGAGGGGTGGCTGTAGCCCCGGGTTCCAGAGGGGAGTGGAAGGAGTTGAGTGCTCTTGTAGATCCGCTCATCGAAAATAATACCCCACGGTTCTTTACATTTGAAGGGCTCCCTTCCTCCGTCTCTCAAAAACTTGTCCTTACTTCCCCATCTCCCTCTCCCTCCTGCTGGCACCGTTGTTCCGTCTAAGGACTCTGCTCCCGAGAGAATCTTTGTGTTCACCCGGGAGGAGGGAGGCCTGAAGCAAGAGACAGCCAGGCTGTTCTAGAAACTGCCGTGTGAAGGAGCTCGCCTGTTACGAACGCCACTCCCTCTTAAACTCTACCTACTTAGATCAGTCAGTCGTCAAGTCTTACTTGCCAAATCAAATGCCCTTTTGTTTATCCTTGCTGTTTTAAAGTAGTGACTCAACTCTCTTTAGTTTTCCTCCTTTATGACCTTCAGGGCCTCCACCCACTGGGGATCCCTGGCTTGTCCTCTGTTCACTCCTCATCTGTGGGTTCTCAGAGTGGAGAGAGGAAGTAAGGGCATTTTATCTATAAGAGCAAATCCAAATTGAGGGCAGAGTGTCATTAATTGCTTTTTTTTTTTTTTCTGAATTTTGTGTTTTGTTTTGGTGGGGAGGTTATTAGGGTTTACTTATTTATTTTAGTATTATTTTTAATGAAGGTACTGGGGATTGAACCCGGGACCTAGTGCATGCTAAGCATGTACTCTACCACTGAGCTATGCCCTACCCCCTTAATTGCTTTTAAAAAGCACATTTAATATTCATTCAGCAAGTATTTCTTGAGCACTTTGTGGCATGCACTGGGCCAGGCAGTGGGAGGCAGAGCAAAACTGAAGGTCTGTTGGGGTTAGGAGAAGCCAACATAGAAGTAAAACGTATTGTTGTCTGGAAGGGAACAAACTTTATGATACACAGATTCGTGTGTAAAGACAAATTGTGTTTGCTGCTATCAAGGAAAAGCAGGGGGTTCCTAATTCAGATTATTGGTCAGGAAAGGCCTTTCTGAGAAGGCCCTATTTAAGCTGAGGCCTAGAAGACCGCAGGAGTTTGTTAAGAGTTCCACGCAGAAGAGTATGTGACAGCCCCAAGGAGGAGGGAGCTGGCTGGTTTGAGGAACTGGCTGTGTGGCTGGAAGCCAGAAGCAAAGGTCGTGAGAGACCTGGCTGGGCTTTGCTTCTAGGCCTTGGTGAGGAGAAAGCATTTTATCCTAAGACCAATGGGGAAAGCCTGAGGGGGTTTACGTAGAAGTTTCTCTTTACATTTGATAAAGCTTACTGTAGCTGCTCCTGCAAGATGGTTGGACGAGAGAGGGGGAGGGAAGGAATCAGGAAGACTGCTTTGGAGGCTAACACAGCCCTTCCGGGGAGCAATGCTAGAAGTCTGCGCCAGAGCAGTGTCACAGAAGATGGAGAGAAGTGGATGGATTCAAGACCTATTTTGGAGATAGAATGGATCACCCTTGGTAATAAATTCAATGGGGGCCGGGGGGAAGGGTGTTTTTGAGGGAGAAAAAGTGAGAAGGATGACCCAGACTTTCTGGTTGGAACATCTGAACGGTGATCTGTGGAGCACTGAAGAAGCAGAGTTAGAGGGAAAGATACGGAATTTCTCTGGATATGTTAAGTTTGTGATGTCTCTGAGTTATATAAATGAAGAAGTAGGAGGTTAGCTATGACCCTGGGACTGAGAGAAGAGTTCTTGTGTGTAAATAGAAATTTGGGGTTCACTGAAACATGCAGTGGTGTGCTGGAGCTGGCTCCAACGGGCTTGTGAGAGCTGGTGGTTAATTTTTCATGAATTCTGTGAGCCGGTTATTAAATGCAGTCATTTTTAAAAATTGAGGAGGGGAGGATATAGCTCAGTGGTAGCGTGCAGTGCTTAGCATGCACAAGGTCCTGGATTCAATCCCAGGCACCTCCATTAATAAATAATAATAATAAATAAATGAATAAATGAACCAAATTACCTCCACCCCCCCCAAAAACCCTTAAAATTGTATAAACATAGCTTAAATAAATCATATTAAAAACAAAGGTTAACAAGTACTCACAACCCATCACTAGTGATTTTACTGCTGCTGTATCAGTTTGCTAAGACTGCCATAACAAGATGCTAGGTAGTTTAAAGAACAGAAATGTATTTTCTCACAGTTCTGGAGGCAATCCAAGAGCAAGGCGTCAACCGGGTTGTTTTGTCTGAGGCCTCTGTCCTTAGCTTGCAGGCGGCTGCCTTCTTCTGTGTCCTCACATGGTCTTTTTCTCTGTGTGTGCATTTCCTCCTCTTATACTGACACCAGGCAGGTTGAATTTGGGCCCACTGTAATGGCCTCACACAATCACCCCTTTTAAGGCTCTGTCCCCAGTACAGTCATGTTCTGAGGTATTGGGGGTTAGGGCTTCAACAAACCACTTTTGGGGATACACAAAGCCCATAACAATTAAGCCCATAACAATTTTACTATTACTATGTTTTTGAAATTATTTACCTCTATTGTGTTTCTATGGTGGAAACACCACATTGTGAGTTGCTAGCTTGAAATCGACTATGGTGGGAGTATTTACACCAGAGAAATCAGTAAATGCTAAAAAGTAGGGCTTTTTGTTTTCCCTGGAGAGACTGGTTTCTAAATATTTACCAGCACATCACTGCCATCGATGTTATTTAGTCTTTAGAGTATAATCTGGATGTGAAAAATGGGAAACACACATGAGCATGCACACATGCACACCCATGCCTTTTGCTGAAGTGCTGCAAACTCTGGCTGGTAGAGATACAAAGAAAGACTTCTGAGTGTCACTGGTTTGCAAGGAGAGGCCGATCAAGAGGCTTTCCACTGAGTGACAGAAACTGATCAAATGATATTAAAGGACATCTCATAAGGATGTTTATTATTTCACATAAAAATAAATCCAAGGGCAGTGGGGTCTTCTAGTAAAGAAGGTTCTTTTCTCTTATGAGAAAGCAGCAGGAAGGAACTCTCTCTGCTGAATGTGAAAGGCTTCTCTTGGGTACCAGATTGCCATCTGCAGCCATCACAGGACAGCAGGGAGACTCAGCCACAGGAGAAGGCAGTACTGTGGACAGCAGTCCTGGAAGACACAGTGGAGGGGAAGGACCAGCCAAACTTGAGGCTCAGCTGTAGCTCCCTATTTCCAGTGGTCTAATGGATATCTCCACGTGGATTTCCCACTACCATTGCAATCTCAGTAATTCCCAAAGAAATTGATTATCTTCTGTAACTCCAAGCTCAAATCTTTCTATTCCCTTCAGTGCCAATATTATTTTCCCAGCAACCCTAGACTCAGTCAAACTTTGGATATATTCATCTTCTTCATATCCTATGTCCATCCAGTTGCTGAGTCCTGTTGGACTTTTCTTTCCAACCCACCTCCTTATTCTAGGCCCTTATCATCCCCAGCTTCCTAATCTTTCTGCTTCTACCTTCAATGAGTCATTATTTATATATGTCATAAATGTGTAGTTACTCTGCATTTTCTATTTTAAGAAGTTAAGAACTTAGCATCTTAAAATTTATTGAATTCCTCTACTTCTCTATCCAATAGACAGCCTATATATTCTATTATTAGAACTAATAAGATAGCAGAGTACATGATATATATAGAAAAATTAATAGTTATGACAGTGTGGTACTAGAGCAGAAATAGCTAGGCATATTATATATAGATCAATGGAAAATAATAGTCCAGGAATGATAGATAGATAGATAGATAGATAGATAGATAGATAGATAGATAAATGGCATTTCAAATCAGTAGGTAAAGATAGGATTAATCATTTCTTTAAGGCAACACTCTATAAACAAAATGAAAAAACAACTGGGAAAACATTTTCAGCATTTATAAAAGACAAAAAGTTAATGTATTTGTGTGGTGGTTTTAAAATGTGCCCACAAATTCTTGATACTCTTCAAGAAGTGGAGCCCAATTCCCCTCTACTTGATTGTGGGCTGGACTTAGTGTCTAGCTGCTAAAAATAGGATAAAGTGGAAGTGATGCGTGTGATTTTGGAGAGTAAGTCATAAAAGACACAGTGACTTCCATCTTGGTCTCCTCTCTCTGAGGAATCCAGCTGCCGTACTTAAGGACACTTGGGCAGTCCTAGGGAGAAACCCATGTGCCAAGGAACAGCCCTGCCAACAGCCATGTCAGTGAACCATCTCGAGACCTAGTCAAGCTTTCAAATAACTGTAGCCCCAGCTAAGATACTTTTAGATTCCTGATTCACAGAAACTGAGATAATAAATGTTGTTTTAAGCTACTAAATTTTTTTAAAACTAAAGTATAGTTGATTTACAATGTTTTGGGTGTACAGCAAAGTGACTGAGCTATATACACAGTGATTCTTTTTCTGAAAGATTATTTTCCATTATAGGTTATAGTCAAGACATTCACAATAGAGGAAGGGTATAGCTCAGTGGTAGAGTATGCACTTACCATGCACAAGGTCATGGGTTCAATTCCCAGTACTGCCATTAAAAAATAAATGAATAAATACTTAATTACCCCACAAAAAAGAAAAAAAGTTATTGACTATAGTTCCCTGTACTATACAGTAGGTCCTTGTTGTTTATTTATTTTATATATAATACTGTGTATTTGTTAATCCCAAATTCCTAATTTATCCTCCCTGCCAAACTACTAAGTTTTGAGATAATTTGTTATCATCAATTAAGAACTGCATTTGGCTACAACATAGCTCCCCCAAATCTGGTGGCTTAATGAATTTTTCACTCTTAAATAAAATAAGTCTGGAAATAGGCAGTTCAGTGTTGGTATAACAGCTTCATGATATTTTCAGTGTCACAGCTGCTTCCCGCTTTTCTTCTGGCATCTTAGCATGTGGCTTATATTCTCTGGGTCATCTCATGGCCCCATGTGGTTGCTGGAACTGTAGCCATCATATTTCTGTTTTAGGCAGGAAGTCAGAGAAAGGGGAGGAGGAATAAGGAACATTCTAGAAGGTTCACACGATGACTTTCTCTAATATGTCATTGATCTATCAGCAGTGAATCGGGGCTGAGAAATATTTTTAGCTGGGTACAGTGTTGCCCCAATAATATGAAAGTTCTGTTAGCTCACAAATTAGAAGGCTATAAAAATTCAATTAAAAAATAAGCAAAGAGTTTAAATAGACGGTTCTCCAAAGAAGATACACAAATGGCCAATAAAAACATAAAAAGATGCTCAACATGTTTAAGGTTAAGTATAGAGTCTCCATTTGATCCAGCACTTCCACTCCTTACAATTCCATTTGTAAGGAAAAAATTGCAATAAACTAAGTTGAAATATCTGAGGTCTGGTTCTCTCTGTAACAGATTTTTCAAATGAAAATAGTTTCTTCCTGGGGATTTGCATATGATATTTTATTTCAGGCTCCTAGCAAAATGCCTGGTACATAGTAAGCACTCAATATATAGGGTTGAGCAAATGAACTACTATGTTGACACTGTAAATATTTTAGAGTGAAATCTCCACGTGCGAAGAATCATGTCTTCCTCTGGAATCCATTCATTATAGCATAGAATTCATTATTTTGATACGAAGTGTTATTTTTGTATTGATACTAGTTGGGTATATAACCAAGAGAAATGAAAATATGAGGCCATACAAAAATTTGTACATGAGTGTTCATAGCAGCATTATTCATATATTTTTTCATTTTTATTTCACTTATTCTTTTTCATTATAGGCCATTATAAGGTATTGAATATAGTTCCCAGTGCTATATACAGTAGGACCTTGTTGTTTAGAGACTTAGTTTCCTCTTCTTCCAAATATCTATCTCACAGGATTGGAGTGGAAATTCAATATCATCTCACGCAATGTCTGGCACGAACTCTCCAGAAATATTTCTTGCACCTCAACGTCTCTTTTCCATCTCCTTTAACAAGTCACACAGACTTGAGTGTCTGGGTGTGGCTGTATTAGTTCTTGCTGATTATTTATATAGAACAACGTCGGATGAGTATTATTTTAGTGGGAACATGTTGGCTTTTCTCCCTTTATGTCCCACAGAAGATTTGCATCAAAATAGTTGAGTATGTGAGGAGGATGGAAATGGTCCCAAACTGGGTTTAGCAGTCAATCCAGCGCTTCAGCACAGATTACACTCTTACTCGGCCCCTGACAGTCAGTATAGTTAAACCTATTTTACAGATGGAAAAGTGAAGTCTTATTTAAGTTAATAGTAAACTGCAGATCTGTCAAGACACCAACCACGGTCTTAAGATATATCCGGCCTGGGCTCCTTCCACTCCACCAAGCCACCTGCCAAAAGTCTACCTGAAAATAATTAATGGGTGGAACCTATGCGAGAGTGGGGGAGCCAGACCACTTACCTTGGTATTTCTTGCTCCTCTTCCTCACCTTTTGCTTCAAGAAATGAGTTTCTTTTGAATTCACAGTACTTTTGCATTGAGGAATCCGGTTCCTTTAAGGTTTCGGACGACGTAATGACTAGCCCCGCCCTTTATCCCCTCCCCTCAGCTCTTTGCTAAGCCCCGCCCACCGGCTTTTGCCCTGGGCCAATTACCGCGCCTCATCCGGGTTCCTGGGACTGGGAAATTGGGTTCGTAACCAGGCAACTACTGGTCCACAGGCTTCGCCGAGGATTTTCAGTTCAGCTATTCGCGGCTTTTCTCTCAACGGTTGCCGGCCGCGGAGGCCAAGGGCTCGCCTCCCGCCCTGTTGCCATAACAGCAGCACCCAGCGCCTCCTTCTCCCTTGCCCTCTACCAAACAATCCTTCCCTCTGGGGCCAGGATCTCTCCAGAACAGCTTCTAGTTGAGCAGAACCAGGGTCTCCACCCCTTTGCAGGGTCTGCTCCTTTGCAAAGGAGAATTAATTGAGTGGGAGGGTTGGAGGCTGGGCGTCAGTCTGGTGTCCCACAAGGGACAAGGAAATGGTGCTGCGCGGGGTGGGAGAGGCAGAAGACAGGAGTGGAACAGTGGTTAGGGATGAGAGGGGAGGGGACAGATCGGTAAGCGAGATTGGAGAAGAACGTGGCTTAAGGCAGAAGTGGGAAGGACTAGGGAGAGGGGAGTCCAGGAAACTGGAGACCGATTTACTGGAAGAGTGGGAGCCACTGAGAAGGGCAGGAAAGGTCTTGGGGGTCTGGGAAAGGGGTCCTTGGTGGGAAGTGGGAAGTGGAGGTTGAGAGTCAAAATGGGATGTTCATACGGATGAGGAAAGAAACATAGCTGGGAGGAGGTCATGGGTGATAGGGTGATGGGAGGAATACCCATCAGTGGAGGTGAGGGAGTGGAGGCTTGGCGGACACTGAGGAGACCTTCTTTCTCAGGACGAGGACCTAGCTTGATCTGACTCCAGAACCTTCAGCAGGGAAGAAAAATGTCAGATGAAGATCTGGAAGACTTTGAGCCAGACCTGGATGATCTGGAAAGGGAAGACGATGAGAAGGAGACAGAGGAGTGGGAGGACTACAAGAAGGAGGGAGAAGACTTCTTGGAGGAAGTGAGAACAGGGACACGGAGTGGTCCCGGGGTTAAAGGGTGGGGTTGGGCTGGAAAGGGATATCTGAGTCTGTCCACTTCCTCCTGCAGTGGATGCCCACCCCCCTCACAGAGGACATGATGAAAGACGCGCTATCTTTGCTCTGCAAGACGGGTAATGGGCTGGCTCACGCATATGTCAAGCTGGAGGTTAAAGAGAGGTGCGTTTATGGGGGACCAGAAGAGGTCTGAGGTTGTAGGGCTCAATTTCCTTTCTCACCCTCCATCCTGGGTGTTTTGGCCAAGTTTGGACCTCTGCCATCCTAGGCCAGTGAGGAGGGAGGGATAGAATCTACTTGTCAGGAGCCTGTGACTCCTTGAGTCAGGGCTGGCCTGGGGAAGTGGAGGCTGTGAGGGTATGCGGGGGGATTCCTGTTGGACGCCCTTGCTTGTCCTTCGGAGTGTCAGTTCTCCACCCCTCACAGACACGGTCCCTGTCCACTATTAAGAACCACTTTCTTTCCCCCTCCCTACCCCTCCCATCTGTCACCCACTCTTCTCTTCTTCCCTATAAGCCATCCTCTTGCTGCCCATGCTGGATTCTTTACCCTAACCCTGGCCTCTGCTGTCTCCTAGGGATCTGACAGACATCTACTTGCTGCGTTCCTACATCCATCTGCGCTACGTAGATGTTTCTGAAAACCACTTGACAGACTTGTCCCCACTCAATTACCTCACCCACCTACTCTGGCTCAAGGCTGATGGCAACCTGTTGCACACCGCCCGGCTGAATGAACTGCCCTACCTGCAGATTGCCAGTTTTGCCTATAACAAGATCACTGACACTGAGGGCATCTCCCATCCTCGTCTGGCCAGCCTGGATCTCAAAGGTGAGGCCTTAGGTGGACCTCACAAGATTCCTTCCTAGCCTGGGGCCAACAGAATTGGGTAGCATGGTCCCTGACTGTGCCACACAGCAATCTGCATTCATTCATTCATTCATCACTCCTTCAGACCCTGATCATGATTCATGATGACTGTTCCATGTGCTAGAGAGGTGGCAGTGAACAAAACAAAGAAAATCCCCATTCTCATGTAGCTTACGTTCTAGTTGGGGGGGACAGACAATTATCAGTGATCACAATAAGTAAATGTATAAAGCATGTTAAAAGGAGATAGGTGCTATGGAAAAATAGATCACAGTAAAAGGAATGCGGGTGATTTCAAACAGGTTGGTTAGTATAAGTGTCATTGGGAAGTTGACATTTGAGCAAAGACTTGGAGGAGGAGAGTGAGTGAGCCATGTGGATTTCTGGGCACCCTCATTCTCTTCTCAAAGCCTTAGGTGGACATGTCCATCAGGCCCCTGGACCACCAGACCACTTTCCCCGGACCCCAGGAGGTGTGAAGTCTGGAGCTGCCCCTCCACACACCCACCTGGCATTAGAGAAGATGATGCAGAGGCTCCCCAAATTCCTGCTCTACTGCTGAACAGCCAGAGCTGCCCTTTGAACTCTTGACATTCTCCTTCTCCTCAGGGAACCACATCCATGTGGTGACAGGTCTGGACCCCCAAAAGCTGATTAGCCTGCACACACTGGAGCTTCGGGGGAACCAGCTGGACAGCACCCTGGGAATCAACCTTCCTAAGCTAAAGAACCTCTTCCTGGTAGCTCACTGGGTCAGAGGGGGGCTGATACTGGGAAGGGGGTGCCTGTCCTGGGGGCCAGGATGCCTGACTTCTACTTAATTCACCCGCTAACTTCATCATCATTTACTGAGCCCTTACTGGGTGCCAGATGCTGTAGGGATGCAAAGTCAAAACAGACAAGGTGCCTACCACTGAGCGGGGCTGACAACACACACTGTGTAGATAATACAGAGACAGTTTACTCTGATCCAGGCAGTAGCATAATGTGCCCGACTGAGGCACAGACATCAGGCTAAGGCCACTTCTGTGTCTAGTCTTTTAGACTCTTGAGCTTCTTCATTCCAGGATGGTGCTGAAGCCATTGCTCCTCAGAGGAGCAGTGAGGACGCTTGGGCCGGGGGATGGGTTGAAGCATCTCCGTAATCAGAGGCATCTATGGTGGGATGGGCAACAGGGGTTTATGGCTGACCTTCCTCTGGGCCGGCAGCTTCTCCTGAATTCTTTATGCCCTGCACTAATCTCTGCCCACCTCCACTCCCCTCCTGCACCCTCCCTCTCCACCTCGTGGATTTGCTCTTTTGCTGCATCTCTTTCTGATTTCTCTTCCTCCCTGCTCCCCTCCCCTCTCCCAATCCACCTGCTATACCCTGGGGCTAGGCTCAGAACATGCTGAAGAAGGTGGAAGGCTTGGAGAACCTAAGCAATCTCACTACCTTGCATCTTCGAGACAACCAGATTGAAACTCTGAGTGGCTTTTCCAAGGAAATGAAGTCACTGCAGTATCTCAACCTAAGGTATGCACCCCCTTTAGGTCCCACCTTGCTCCTGCCCCAGTCAGGAGCCTTGTGTTCCTCCCTGGTCCCAATCCCTGAGTCCTAGCCTACTCCCAGATTCTTATCTCATCCTCCATCCTGATCCTTACCCTCCTTTCCTTAATTTCTTCTGCATTCAGTCCTGACTGCAGCACCAAGACCTTTATAGTCTGAGATCCCTGAGCCCTATTCATTCAATCCACGGTTACTGAGAACGTGCTATGTGCCAGGCCTTGGGCTGTGTGTCAGGAACCATCTAAAGGAGTCAGAGATGGTCTCTGTTCTCAGGGGACTCACGGTCTGGCTCCAAGTCTGTTTTCTCGGTCCTATCCCATAGAAGTTTCCACTGCCCTTCTCCATCTCCTGGACCTCAATTCTTCCAATTTCCTGCCTCTCTTCTCCCAAGCCCCACCTGTAAGGGATGGCCCCACATTGATATAAAACACAAGGTGTGCTCAGCTTTGAGGAGAGGAGTATTTAAAAGAAAATCCCTAGGTGGAGAGGCGCTGAGGAGCGGGCGATTTTCTTTCAGCAGCTCCTGTCTGGTGGCGGATGTTACGTGTGTTTCTTTAAACAAAGATGTAAAGAAATTTCCTCTTTAGTCAACAAGGTCAAATCTTTGAGGCTGGCAATGGAAAGAGACTCTCCAAGTAGGGAGGGGTGGTTGTACCTTGAAGCCCCGAGTCCTGGAGTGATCGCACAGTGGTCTGGTGGGGTGGAGGGGCTGCTGTTTTCCTGTTAATGGTCTAGACAGGGATAACGGACCTTCCTCACTGGCTGTCAACCAGGGATGTTTGGAAGTAAGTGGAGGGAGAGGGGTTGTCTCAGTCAGTGACCGGGAGGTGCCTCTGGGGCAAAAGACCTGCAACGCACAGGACAGCTGGGGACCAAGTGCGTGTAGCTCTCCCATGAGAAGCACCGTGCAAGGTTCAGCATCTCTCTGAGATAAGGCTGAAACGTGGAAGCCTAATTTCATAAAGGAGTGAGGCAAGAGCAAGGAAATAAAAGCAGAGTCTCATACAATATACACACACCCGAGGGGAGAATGCTTGTTCTTCAGGCTGAGAGGCCCCGACCCACCCCTAGCTCTAAGCTCCTTCCTGTGGGAGCCCCAAACCTCTGACTAGGTGTGACGACACAGAAGAAATCTGTCCCTGCGAGGGAGACTCCCCCCTCCTCCCCAACTGCAAGACAGGGTTGAGACCTAGCTCTGCTGCTCCAAGAGGATAAATACAACACATTCCAGAATAGACAGTGGCACCTAGAGATTCCTTGAAGGGCAGAAGCAGGACAGGAGTGGGGTTGGATGGCATCTCAACAGCGAATCTGGCTATGTTTGGTGGGCCAGCCCACAGAGGCCACGTTTCTAGAGAAACTGGAGCCCAGCGGGAGATTTGCCCCAAGACCCCATTCCTGGCAGTTGGTCTCCAAAGCCCACAGTTCCCTGGTGAACCCCTCCCAACTGCACCGCACCGCACCGGCAGGGGCAACATGGTGACTGACCTGCGGGAGCTAGCCCAGCTGCGGGACCTGCCCAAGCTTCGAGCCTTGGTGCTGCTGGACAACCCGTGCACGGACGAGAACGACTACCGCCAAGAGGCCCTGGTGCAGATAGCACAGCTTGAACGCCTGGACAAGGACTTCTATGATGAGGAGGAGCGGGCTGATGCCGATGAGATCCGTCAGCGGCTGAAGGAGGAGCAGGAGCAGGAGGCTGAGGCTGAGCCCGAGCCCGAGCCAGAGCCTGAATCTGAACAGGACTAGTTATTGATCCAGCGGTTCTGGCCTCCAGGGATAGTAAGAAAGTGGGGCAGGGAGGCAGGAAGAGGAGGCTGGGGCCTGCAGATGGGGAAGAGGAGGAGTGGCCGTAGGAGGAGGGGGTGAAGAAGGCATAGCCAAGGAGAACCCTTGGGGATACCTGGGTTAGGAGCCAGGGGTGTCCCAGGTTCAGGAGAAGGAACAAGAAGGGCCTGGAAGGAGCTGAAAAAGGCCGAGGAGATACATCAGGAAGCCTAAAGAGTAAGTGAAAAGAATCCGGGTGGCAGGCAGAAGTGGTGGTGTGGGCTGGGCAGCCACACCTGACTCAGAGTGGAGATCAGCCAGAAAGGCTAGGCTGGGGCATGGTGAGGGGTGGGTTAGGGGCAGTGTATGAGGATGTGGGCCGGGTCTAGGGAAGGGGAAGAGGGGAAGATCCTGTACAATTATCTGAAGCTAAAAATAACAGGACACAGGGGCAGAAGGAAGAAAGGAGGGCAGGGTGAGGCAGAAAGAGATGGAGGTGATGAGTCCAGGGAAGGGTGGCAGCTGGCACTCCAGATGGGGCAGAGGCAGCAGTGGGAGAGCAGCAGGGCCCAAAGGCTTGGCTTCTGTCCCCTTCCTCCAGGAGAGCAAAGACGCTGGTCCCAAACTGAGAAGACTCCCAGTTACAGGAGCCACCACACGCACACCCCTCATCCGGAGCCAGAGGCTGCCTTCTCCTGCCCCAGGCCTGGAAATCTATCACAGCCTGGCGCCCAGGATCTCTATGGGACACCTGGGCAGCGGTGCTTAGGCAGGGGGCAGCCCTCAGGCAGGTCTGGTGGGAGTCAGGCCTGGATGGGCCAAGGGGATGCTGCAAGAATTGGCTGTGGAGGAGCTTAGGAAGCGGCGGCCTGGGGTGTTAGGAACAGCTCGGTTTTCCAATAAAGAGACATTTTGATACTCTTGTGTCTGATCGGGTTTGTGAGACACTGAGTCTATGGTGGGCTTCACTGGCGTGAGGCTGAGGCTGTTACTTTACGGGGGGTCGGTGTGTGGGTATGAATGCGCGTGGGTGGTGGGAGGCCAGGTCCTGGGTCGCCCCCAGCCCCTGCCCCATCACTCTCCCCGAACCCTCCCCACCCCACCCCATCGGTCCCCCACCCGCGCTCCTACGTGCGCCTCCGCCGGCGGCTCCTGACTCATCGGGGGCTCCGGGTCACAT